GAAATTACGATTGTCAGACGCGATTCCAGTTTTACCATCAACCGCTGTGCATAAAGGGCTGGGAATGCTTCCAGATTTGCCGCTGACACTTCTGTTAAACACTGAAATGCTCTCATCTACAGCTTTATTTTTTTCGTCTTGATCTCTTTCCTCTGATTGAACAGAAGTTAAAAGGTTGGTCAACAACAGTCTTAAGCGCCGAACTTCGTACAAGCTATCTTGAGCAAGGGTTGAAATATTATTCTGTATGAAGCTTGTTGAGTGAAACGTGGGAAGATGCATATTGACTTGAGGATGTGGCGCTGGAGGACAGTCCATATTAGGGAGAATATACGCCAGATCACTAATTCAGCAATACAGAAGCTATTTCATTTTTCAGCACAAAATCTGAAATAGTGAATGAGACTTTTATTAAGCGTATAACTTCACAAAACTAACAAATGTGTAGTTAGGAGCATACAAACTAACCAAATAAACTTTAACCTATTAAAAATGTAATCCTTCTATTAGCCAAGAGTTACATGACATGTGAATACTATGGGTTATCCACTGCATCAGCTTTTATATCGACAGTGAATCAAAATCGTATTTCTTTATCACTGTCACCAAACTATTTGCTACTATTGCAGAGGTATATCTGCATGTTAATGGTTTGAATTTATTTACTTTTTATAATCCTCAAGCACTACTCCATGACAGTAAATACACACAAAGGAATATAATAAGGGCTTATACTATGCGTAGTGTAACTACGTATCAGTCAAGTGGATGTTTTTGACAGGACTAGAGTGGCGAGATTTTCCCACTTACAAAATATAAAACTGTATGCAAACCGTTACTTTTTATTCACTACGAGATCTACAAGGAATTTGGCAAAGGGGCGATTAAACAATCGAACGCTAGTAGTTTTATATACTTTAAGACTGAAACATAGCTTCGTTTAAACATAAGTCTGACCAATGGTTGCACGCGTTTTGCGACAAAATGGGTCATTTTGAGGTCTGTGGGACGGAAATACTCATGATTTATTTAAATGGACTTGAAATGATATTCGATAAAAGACACGACTTGAACAGTTAAAAGGAACATATATGGTCCGTTGGGAAAATAAATAGAAGCTCATAACTCAGATGCAGTATACGCAAACTGAAGCACAGTGACAAAAGTCTAAAAACGGGGAAATTTAATGTTGCCTAACTACATGCAGTATAAAAACATTCGAAGTGGATGTATAGAAGATAAGGTTTAACTATCAGTGTATAACTCTGAAAAATGTTTGTACATATTTACATTCATCAATGGATTATATTTTCACACAGTCTAGCAGATACTAAAAGTTCCAGCTTACTAATAGCCACACATGTAGAGCACTTCTTAAAATACAAGTTACAGATTTCTTGTAACCCTAAGTGTGTTCAATGCCACTGGGACTTGTCTGGTTCTTGAAAATCATAATTCTATCCCCTTGAAAATTTTCAAACTATGTACATAATTATTTTCTGAATATGTTTCTATCCTCCGGGAGGACCTGGACAATGTCCATATACGGAAAATTTGACAACACTCAAGGCCAAAGAATAAAAAATGATGGTAATATTTACGACCACATCTGAGATCACTTATTACTTACTGAAAGGAAAATTTGTACAGAAAACAATTTTGAAGAAGGACATCAGGATAACCTTATCAAAACAAAAAGTACACGAAATGGTTACCTAGTAGCCACCCAAAAGCAAATAGTTCCAGGCTTCTTTACCACACTACTACGATGTCTATTCAAAAAGGCTTGTGAGCACAAATTTGGAGGGAACCAGATGTCATGCTTCCCAAATCAAAGAAGCAAAGCTATCTTGGATAGACTTTGTAGAAGTCACTAGAATTACAAGACTAAGATAGAAATCAAAACCACTCTGAAGCTATTAGTCAAGTGAGTCAAGGTTACAATGAAGCTGGCATTTTTTACTTTGATGATGCTGCTTTATGTACTTCTAACGTGCGTTAAAAGTGATCCAACTAGTTGGATCACCTGTATACAGGTGAATTTACTCATGTGCCTTTCGAATCATAAACAATCACGAGAAGCACTCTAAAGTTGCAAATAATTTGATTATTTCTAGTACTAAATGGACTCTTAGTCCATTGAAAGATGACTACTTTTGGGAGTACTGCAAACAATAATGGGGGAAGTTAAACTATAGACCCAGCGAGCAACGATTTCGGGCACATTGCAGACTTTTTGGGGCAGGCGTTAGTAGATGCGCCCGAAGTTTTTTGCCCCCGAAAATTTTGCAGTGCACCCGAAAATAATGTTAACTGGGGAAGAGATATAATTTAAAATTCGTTCTTCACATGTAAGTCTTCCATCATAATTGCACAGATGGCTTGATAATCACCACAAAAAATAATATGGTGCCATAGTCAGACATCCGATTATTGAGAAATAATTATATGTAAAAGCATACTTTCATATATGAAAAAGTATATTTTTCTTCAATTGTTCTTTTAAAAGAATAAGCCTGAGAACCTTGGCATGAATTTAAAGAATATTTCATAGTGTATACTTATAAATAAAAGACACAATTTTCCGAGAATGCTAATAAATGCAAACATACGTCATGAAATCAAAGTGCTTTTAGCCAAACGTAGAACAACCATTTAAATGGTTGTAGTCTGGAGGACTTTCAATATCCAATTTCGTTATTATGAGCTAGTATAAACCAATTTGATTTCTTTGTGCTCCCTTTTGATTGTGAGGTAAGGATTCATGATCTTTGGTAAACTTCTGCGTATTTCGTCTCGCCACTCAACTGCAGTAGCTTTGGTTGACTCCAAATGGAATGGTGATGGGATCAACTATATGTTGTTTGTAGTAGGCGTTGTGTTAAGACTTTGTTGCTGCCGTGAATGGAGTTCATCTTTTCACCAGTTAGTCCTCCGGTATCGTCGTCAAAAGAAAAGAGATAATAATAGATGGCGTCGGTGGCACAGTGGTTAGGACTCTCGCCGACCATGCACATGGTCCGGGGTTCGATCCCCTGCCGGCGCACACCCGATATCTATGGTATGCCTGAATTTGGGCAACCGATATCCATGCTGAAAATTCCATACTTGTACTGAAAATACGGTGTGGAATGAAGCTGTAAATCAAAAATCCAAAAAAAAAAATCAAAAATCAATAATTAGTTAGGTTATTCAAACTAAAAGACAGAAAAAGAAATAAGCAAAGCGCAAAAACAGAAAGCTAATTAAACTTGAAGTTGAAACATATATATACATATACAAATAAAATTTTTATACGTATGTAATATCAGTGATAATAATAATTATAAGTGTAAGTGTAGAAGTTGGTGTAGTCAGGAGAGTAATACAGGAGAGAATGAACCCGAAGTATTTATACATATATCAAATATTTAGCTGTTCAAACATTACTAACTTGTAGACAATCTACTATTTGACATTGTATCATACTTGATCGTGCCTGTAAAAATGGCATGCATTTTCATGTAAATTTATGTTTATATGAAAATATAAAATAATTATTATTATTAAAGCGATGAGTTCAGATATCTACCCAAAATGACGTATTAGATTTTAAGGGGATAGGCCATTTTGACGCAGCTTTTGTGTCACTGTATCACTGTACAACCTTCATTTAAAGCTGTCCACAGACAGTGCCATAACTACTCCTGCCGGTAAGGAGTTGCAGCGACGACAAACCCGTCGTGAAAAGAAGTGGGAGCGCATCTGAGTCTTTGCCCTCTGGTGAGCCATCCTTATAAGATTTCCACGCTGAAGCTCATACTTATCCAATGGATGATTCTGGTCGTTTATCTTGTAGGCAGTAATCAACCTTTTTTCAGCTGACGGTAGCTAAGTGTCTCTAGCCTTTCATCATACGGTTTATTTCGGAGACCAACGACTCCTTTAGTCGCACATCTTTGGACTCTTTCCTAAAGGTTTGAGTCTATTCTAAGCAGTGGAGTGCAATAATAGTATGCACTTCAAGGTGTGGTGTATGTTTTGTACAACCTAAGAAAGAGTTCAGAGGCGATTTCATCTAACTGTCTGTGTAAAGTATATGATCCCATATACGGTCGCTACATCCGCCAAGTGATTCACGCTTGTGTCCGTTTTCTTAGTCAGAACTAGACCTTAGTCGCGCTCCGACGTTGTATAGGACGAGCTTGGGCGTTGATAAAGCATATCCCCTGTTTGAAGTTGCGCCTCCAGCTTTACCTTGAGGACATTTGCGCGGTCTAGTTGATTTCAGTTTGGCTGATTTGTTTCGTTTGATCTAGGTAGCTGCATTTGACGTGATTCTGGTTTCTGTTTGGCTTGAACTGTATTGATTTTGTTAAGAATAGTCGTCAAAAGCTGCCTCTAAGCCTGAAGGCAGTTATGGTGCAGGAGGATGCTTGAGAATGTGTTTCATGTGAAAATTATAGGGTGCACCTAAAATCCTTCTGTTTGTGGTGTCTCAATGATTTCTGTAGAGCTTCGTTTCATCACTTGTGTCCATATTTGTCGTTCACGAGTGTTCCAGTAAATGTTTATGGCTATAATCAGGAACTTTCCAAAACGGTAACTGTGGTAAGGAATTTATATTTTTTTCCGCTATAGTTTCCAAGTCAATGTCTCTTTTAAGTTGCTTACTGTACTCTGTTGGCTATTCATGGATTTTTTATTGAAAAGCTTCTGTTTTCATTTACAGTGGTACCGAATGGACGCATTGGCACTTGGAGACAGTGGCGACCTACCTGCCCTTCCTATATCAGTGGATATCAAAAAACCTTTAGACGGAATTATGTTTAGTCACCGTTATACCAGTTGGGTTCAAGTAGAAGATGCTCTGAGTCAGCTGAAATCAGTAATATATGTATATATGTATGACAGAGTATTCCTAGGCAACTCATACACATTATGTCATCAAAAAGTGCATACGGGACCATGAATCTCAGGATTTGAAGTACAAATTAGTAGTCTTTCGTTGTACATATGGCATGAAGCGAAAAACTAGAGGTTCAGGTTTACGCGTCAAACCGTAAGAATTCTATTATTTATTTCTGCAGTGCAAAATACACCGGTTGCCAATCTGGCTTTCGTATAAGCTACAAGGAGGACGAGTTTATCATTTCTTCCGCGAAAACAGTTCACAATCACAGATGTGAAAAAACTCTTATGATAGGTGATCCATATTTTAGACGCCTGTCCGGGGATGAAAAGGAGAATATTGCACCAGTTGTGAATACTACATCTGAGGTTGGTGATGTCTTGGAATATGCTGAAGAGAATTTTAATAAAATTTTGACGAGCACAGATGTGTATAATTTACGTAAGGATGTGAGACCAGGTAATTGAAGTAGTTTAAAGTTATTTTTGAAGCCATGCCTTTGAGATCAGATGTTATGCGCATAATAAGGCAAAGCGGTCAGGTGGTTGAATACGTGGATTCGAATACAGGGATAACCAGCAGAATTTGCTTCGACCTGGAATCACAGGTTCAGTTATATCGGAAATATGGAGAGGTGGTGTGTATTGACTCAACATACAATACCAATAAGGACGGGTAGGTTATACGTGAAACGGTTGACAAATCTTAATCAGATATTCTCTGTTTCAGTTGGTGGTAACAGACAATATGGGTCATGGCAGGCCTGTTTTTTTGGCATGGACGAGACGAGAGAGGTCATGTGATGTAGCTTGGATATTGGAACAATTCCAAAGAATAATGCAGGATACGTCCATTACAGAAACTTTCGTAATGGATTCGGCCAACTGTGAGATATCCGCCGTGCGTAATAGTCAAATTCAGGCGAAAATCGTCATCTGTGCATTTCATGTATGCCGGGCTTTCAGCAGGAAGGTGAGGTGAATGTAATTAATACTTGATGCATTTAGACTCGAAATCCTTTTGTACGCAGGTTTTTATATCGTCTTGTTAAAGCTGCCACACCTGAAAGGTAAATGCATTGAATTCTAACCGTTTGGATTTCATCACTACCTTAGTGTCATTAGGATGGTTGATCGGAGGGTGTGGAATTATGTCAGGCATTACTGGGTGCCTAAGAAGGAGACGTGGGCTGTAGCATATATGCCGAATACTCTGTTGCTGTTTAATAGTACCAACAATAGAGTTGAAAGCTCTCACAGTCAGCTAAAACGATATCTCCACAGAAGAGATCCACTACACATATGCATGTACAAGACGTATAAATGGTGTGTACGCACAGAGAAGCGTCATAGTGTTGAAGTCATCGTCGAAAGTTGTCGGATTCATAAGTACCACGCACCGGAACCAGTTATGCCGATATTAGGGAACTTCACTCCTTATGCCGCTAAGTTAATTTCCAAGGACTATGGCCGTAATCGTCGGATGAACACAGAGTTGTATACTGATGATATGGCTATCATAAATGACGGCATATACCTGCACCAAGTGGATTATACAAATTCTACTTGTACCTGCAGAATATTTAGGGCACAAAGAATACCTTGCCGGCATATGCTGCTATGTCACACTCAAATTCCTCAGTTTACAGGTAAATCAAACTCTTACTAATATTTAAATTAATATTTTTAGTTGACAAAGTAATTCGCCTGTGTCGCAGATGGTTTTGGCAGGATCCGTTGCTACCAAGTCGTGTGCCGTGTGAAGGTTCAGTGAAGAAACCCTGCATGGAGATACTGCAACTTCGCAGGCAATTGAACAGAAGCTTCGCAGTTATGCAGGATAATTTTGTAATGAATATACTATTAGTGCACTGCGAGCAACTCTGAATTACTTTGAGAACTTTCTTGTATAGTAATGGAAGATGTACATAAATTTTGTGTCAATAAATGCAAATATACCCTAAATTCTAAACTGCATATGCCTTATGTTTTGCCGTTTCATATGACAGAAGTCTAATAGTCATTTGCGAATATAGTAGAAAGCATTTCTAGAGAGCAAGTAAAAGTGAATACTAGGCGGAATCTCCAGTACTTAGTATGAGAAGTAAGGTGAACGTTTTTTTCTTGTAAGTACGCAATGAAAAGATAATGACGAGTTTTTGTAACTAGCATTGTATTTACTATGTAGGTAATGTTATTACAGGCATACGTTGCTATAACGTGAGTAACACCAATTGTAGCGTTTTCCAGTCAGTAAAATTTCGACTTTTCGTACGTCAAACTTCGCGGAAGGTAGATGAAATTAAAGACTGCTTCCAGACGATCCGTACAACGGCACCTTAGGCAATGTCTACAAAGACAAAAATAAGATAATTAGAAGACACGTTAAAATGCATAGGTAAATAAATCAAGTACTGTTTTGGAATAAGGGAGATTACTAGTACTATTACAAGGTCTTCAACTCATTTCATTTCTTTCGACTGCTACCATTTCTTGCGTCAGCGTTACCTACTTATAGTTCACTGTAACTTCTTCGTTGCACCCTATTTACACAGTGCAAGGAAATGAGAAAATGAGTGCAATACTTAGGATACGACAATAATAAGGGTATAAGCAGATTAACACTGCAGCGAGGTGCAACAGTAATAATAATTTGCTTTGTTCGAAAACACTATTAATGTTACAGTGTTGAATTTGCAGCATCTCGTACATTATTGTATCTAATTTTATGAAGTAATATTCGAAACAGTTGTAAAGATTATATTACAGAAATCGGCAAGATGTAGAGTGACCAAGAAAGACCAGAGGAAATAACATCTCCAAGGTATTTCATGTTAGACTTAGTTTATGTTTCAGTGCCCTCTGTGATACAAGCATCTTGTGAACGATACAGCTTTATTCATATACATGAGTATTTTAGTTAAGCGTACTACAGGTTTAAAAAAATCACCCATCTAATTCACTTCTATTAGCACTAATTCTTATGTCCGTGTTACTGACTTTCGGTTTATGTTTTCTTCAGTGCACTTTATCTGGACAATTTAAGGAATTGGGAAATGCATTGAGTACTTAAGAAACGGGACAGAGTGTAAAAGTCATCTTGAGTAAGAGGAGAAATTATTGTAAGACAACTCCTTTTCAGTTAGACGAGAACCGAATAGAAAAATGCGGTTACCATTTGTTGACATTTTGCTTATTTTTATCCACGTTTTAGCATTTCATTATACCTGGACTGTAGATCATTCTGACAGACTGACTTTCAACAGAGAAGCTTGCAAACAAGTGCACCTGTTTACGTTATCACATTCCATGTAGCAAACAAAGGTAGAGAAAAAAGAAATCAAATGGAACTCTAATGAGCATAAATGTCATGGAAAACGAACATTGATATGGATAGAACACAAGGGTTGCTCAGAAATGTAAAATTACACAGAGTGAATGCGTCTGTGTTATTAACAACGTTTGAAGTCACATTTCTACTTAACACTAAGCTTCACCCCAATATTACTCACCATATTAGAGTACTTAACGCAGAACAAAGGGAACAGACACTATGATCAAAAACCAGTAGTCTTTTCATATCTTCCAGTTTCAATGGTCACTTCTCACAACGTAGGTGGACAATGTCATTAGCATACACTAAGTTGACAAGACTTTTCCCTGGTTAGTCCCTGAAGTGAGTGACACACAATTCTGTTAATACATGTATGATGAAAGTGAACTAAAATAAGGACGACAGTTGTAGGAATGAGCCTTGTATTATAACAATAATTTTATATTTTCATATAAACACAAATTTACATGAAAATGCATGCCAGTTTTACAGGCACGATCAAGTATGATACAATGTCAAATAGTAGATTGTCTACAAGTTAGTAATGTTTGAACAGCTAAATATTTGATATATGTATAAATACACTCTTTGTCTGACCCATGTCGTATCATTATTGAATTAAACAGCAGTCCTCCAGGTTGCGCAGGAAAATCGACTTCATTTCGTTGTAGGCATACGATAACCAACCAATATTGAGGTAAGTACAACGTCTACAAGGGATAGTAAGCTGTTTTAGAAAAGTAAGGGTGCAAAGGTGAATCATTAAAGTGTAATGAAATAGGTAAATGCAATGTATCACTAATATATGCATTCATAAAGGAAATACAATGAGAGACTATAATCCCTAGGTTGACAAAGTTCCTTTGCAATGTATAATGCTACCCTATAGGTTTTACTATCATGTTGTCCACTTTTGGTTTAATACAATTATCCACAAGCCGGTTGTTTTTATTTCATACCTTTTTGTGTTTGGTGCACAACCGTACCCTATAGAGAATAGGAATAAAATAAGTCGAATCAAATTCATAAAGAGCTATAAAATGTTAGGTTTGGTGGAATATAATGAGCAAGTGAAGACGTTATTAGAAAATGTATGGAAATATCAGTTCCCTCACAGTTTAGTTTCAGTATTAAGTGAATGGAATGCAATCTACATATTCATGAAATTCACATACGGACGTACTACTTTTCTGGAATCATAGTTAATGTCTCCTCAGTAAAGTGAGCAATTGGTATTGTACTTGTGTAAAATCAATAGGCTGTGAACCGCTACCAATAAAAATGATATAAATTCTTAGAATTATCAGTTTTAATTTCAGCTGGATCACATGCAACACTCAGTAGTTGTTAAATGGCCACTTGATGAACATGGAATCCATACAGAAAGCGCAGAAGATTTAGTACAACATGCACACTCCTGATTTCACTATTCAGCATGCACGCCAAATGCATTACTTTAGGGGCCTACACAGTTCACAAATTAACTCACAACACTGAAGTGGAGAAATTCATATTTGTCCTTACTGAGCTTAATATAGCGGTTCTTGTGAAGTAACTTTCTTATGCAGAAGAGAAGAGCAAGGTATTCATAATCTTTTGCTACATGTGGAATCGCAGTGCAACTCGATGCGCAATAGTATATATACAAATAAACTCAAAAATAAAGTCCTCCTGGTGACACATTGTGACATGACAAGAAGTGAGACGGTCAGATAACCGGCGTATTTGACAAAGTTGCTCTCATTAGAAAGAGAAAAGTCATGTAAGACAAGAGAGAGAAAAAAGAAAAGGAGAGATAACAGTACCCTGAGGAACACAACCTTCAGCAAGCAAGACGGAAGATTTACCCTAGTATACAGTATGCTGTATACCATTTGAGAAATGATAATGCAACCACTCACCTGCACAGGACTCGTGTTTGCACGACCGAAACTGAACTAATGTCATCTAGGTCCTTAGTCAACAACGGCATATGCTGAATAACTGAAAGCTTAGCACAAAAGTGATAAAGTGAAGGAGACGAATCCCGGGTGGATGAAGAGGTTACTGAAAGGTATTTATTTGTCATTTAGCAAAGAACAAGATTAAGAACTGAAATTATCATTTGTTGACATTCTGGAGATCATTATTCAGT